GCTGAAGTGTAAGTGTATTGCAGTGATAGTCAGAAATTTTATTTATTTACTTCTTTAATTCTTTTTTTTTCCTTCCACCTCTCTGGATAAGCAGTAAATTGTCATGAGATATGTCTTGTTTGAATGGAAACTGGTCAGCAAGTGTAAGTGCTTGCTCTGTATTTGTTGTCAAATAAAGCCACGTAGTTAGACTAGACCAAGCACTTACAGATTTGTTTTGTAGGTTTATTTTAATAATGATACAGTTCTAGGTATTTTTTTTGTGAGGTTAGGGTTTTGGAAAGTTAAAACTTATATGACGAGTTGTTGTTATTTAACAGAGAACGTAATGGGTGGTATGTCACACATAGGTCTAACTGTTTCAAACAAGAGAGTGTTGGGCATCCTGTTGGACATCTGGGTTGGCTTTGTCTGCTGCTTCTCTGCTGCTGTATCTTATGACAGATTTCTTTGCAGCTTTTCATGTTGGATTTTTTTTTTTTATTCTGTGCTTTTGGCATGGAAATAGGAAAGGCTGGAGCTTCCTGCCCACAGAAACCATAAATCCCAGTGAATTAACTGGGACAGATTCTGCCTGCCTTCCCCGAATACCATCTTTAAAAGGATGGAAACAGCATAAGAGTGTTTTGGGTACTGAAATAGAATTGACTTCATAGTAGAGCTGTTTTCTTGAAGAACTACGTAGCAGAGTCAGAGCACCTTGGTTGTTTTACTACATGAAATCCTGGAGAGAGAGATCTAGAAAGTATTTTTGTGTGACCTTGTTAACTGTTGTGTTATATCATCAACTATGTAGAAGCTTCTCTAATGAATCAGTACAGCTGTATTCCTGATTACAGTAAGTTTTGTCTAAGTGCACTTTTTTATACGTTCAGAGCTGCAGGGCTGTATATCCTATTTTCTTTAAATACGCTACCTCTGTTTCAGAAAACATCTGGGGTTGTAATTCTTCCATTCTGTGAATTAAAGCTGGTGATTTTTAGCTTGTTTGTAAATTCTGTTATAATCTGCACTTCAATTCAGTGTCTCTAGTCAGTCACAGATACTGCAACATGGCTGGACTTGTAGGTAGATTAAGTCGTAACAGGTCCACATGAACAGTGTTGAAGAATGTGCCTTAAAACATCTGGAACTGAAGTTACTTCTACAGTGAAGTGGAAGATTGGTTTCTTTTGGGTTGGGCTGCTTCTCTTCACGCTGAAAAGAAAATTGTACTTTTCTAATGACAGCTTTAATGTAAAGGATGTATCTGTGTATAGGTTGAGCCTGTTTTAACTTGCAGACAAACTTCTTGTTTTCTCTTCCCTCCAGCTGGTCAGCCTGCTGCTGATTGGGATTGCAGCATGGGGAATCGGCTTTGGCCTCATCTCTAGTTTCAGAGTTGTTGGAGTGGTGATTGCAGTAGGAATCTTCCTCTTCCTCATCGCCTTAGTTGGATTGATTGGTGCAGTGAAACATCATCAAGTATTGCTGTTCTTTGTATCCTTCCGATGTGTTTCATGGATTGCAGCTTGGTTCGAGCCATGTAAACTGCCTGCTCCGTCAGCTGAGACTGATGTGGAAGGTGCTTCAGAAACAACAGAAATTCACTATCTTATTTTGGTCAATGCAGTCTAAATTAAACTTCTTTCCCATTTAAGTTTATTCCAGTTTCCTTTTTTCTCCTTTTTTTGAGCTCTGAAGACAAAAGTATTCACATCTCCTTTTTTTAATAATGAAAATATTTTCTTTTTTGAGAGCTTTTATGGTGGGTCACTGTCACAGATGCCTTCTACTGCATACTCAACCCCTCAGGAAGCTGGAGTATGCAAACTATTAATGTTTAACGGTCGAGAAAGATGATGCTTCCAGATAGCCAGCTAGTGGTAGCTGGCAGGGGTATGTGTTGTGGGTAATACAGGCTGTCAAGAAGCACTTTTTTTTCATACCCAGTCTTTAATTGCAAACCCAGAGTAGAAATGAGCACAGGCCTTCTCGGTACACTTTGCTGCCCCTTTGTGCGTACTGACACTTCGTAAGCAGTCTATGGTGCTGCCTTGCATAACAGAATCAATTTGTTTGGATGACAAAAGAGATTAATCGGATAAATTCTTATTTTTCTGGTTGCAGTCTATGAATAAGTAGTGACTTTCAGTTTACAAACAGTTTAATTGTGTGAGATAAGTATTTGCCTGTGATCACACCAGCCAAATTGTGAAGACAGTGCCCAACTTTCACATAGTGATCAAAGTTTGTTATTTTTGTTTTATACTATTTTCACATGCATTAGTCCAAAAGTGTATGTGGCTATGTTCCTAAAGCAACTATTGCTTTTTTTTTTTTAATCTAGGCTAAAGTTCTCTTTTGTAATTAATTACAATACAATAACATGGAAGAAAAAAATTGAATATGCAATACCCAGAGAAGTATTTTTTTACTACTTTATTTAAGTGAAGTGTCTTGAAATGACAACATGAGACCCTAAAGCTCTAGAATTTTCTCTCTCAAAGCTCCTTTTATTAACTTCTCTGCTCGTGTTGTCTTGCTAGACAAGAAACACTTAACCCAGAAATACCAGCTATGTATAGTAGTAGCTAAAAAGAGATAATATATGATGATTGAGTTCTGGGAACATTATTTGGGTCATGTTTTCCACATCCAGTCAGAATTTACTTCTATAGATCTTTTGTTTTAAAGGTCTTACTGTTATCCAATGAAATAAGGAATACCATTAGGCATATGTGTTATAAAAGCAAAATTAATTCAAGAGTATATCCTTAACTACTGTTTGCAGTACATGATTATTCTTCTGCTAGTCTTTATTGTCCAGTTTTCTGTCTCCTGTGCCTGTTTGGCACTGAACAAGGAACAGCAGGTAAGAAAAGTTTCCTGACTCCTCAGGTAATCTGTAGCATAATACTATGGATATATACGTACGTACGCACACACGTTTATATATAGTCTTCTGTAACATAGAGAAAGCATATTTTAAGAAAATCAGCATTATCCTTTAAGGACTAGGCCTTAGGCAGTGCTTGGCTCTGGTAACTAGAATAAAATCCATCTGGGTTCTAAAATGACTTTCAGCTGTCTTTTTTAAAAATTGTTTTGGTTTTAAGATTCCTGACTAGGTTTATGGTCACAAGTGTAGCAGTATGATATCTTGACTATATCACGTGTTCAGCAATTCCAGATAACCTGATAAAATCCACAGTAGTAATAATGTGAAGATGGTAAAGCCACTGAATTGATCTTGTGTAACTGAAAAGGTCGTAACTGCATTAGGAACAGAGGTGACCCTTAAGTGTGAAAATAAAACCAGCTTCCATGGGGTATGGACACTTATTCTTACTGCATGAGAAGCAGGCAAGGGTACATTATTACTAAATAATAATCTTTTATATGCAAGTGAACTTTTTGTTTAAAGTCTGAGCAGTCCCAGTTAGATTAGTTGCTTGTCCCATTACTAGTGCTCTTGCCAAGTTTAGGAAAACGAAAGGAAGAAAATTAATTAAACCCGTGAACGTGCTGCTGCTAGGTGCTGCTGTTTCATTAGCTACACAGCATGTTTGAACATTCAAGTTGTTCTGTAATATATTATCCTGTTAGACTTCAGGATCTGAAGGTTCTAGTTAGGGAATTACCAACTCGGTCTAGTATATTGGTTTCCAGTGAGATGCATAACAGTTCGATTAGTATAATATGTATTTGCTTATGCCTTCTAGAGCCAACTTCTGGAGGTGGGATGGAATAACACTAACAGCGCGAGAACGGATATTGAGAGAAATCTGAATTGCTGTGGATTCAGAGTTTTTGACCCAAATGAAACCTGCTCCTCTGTAAGTTCAACTGTGGAAGAAGCACAACTTTCTCTGATTGTGTCTGTTCACGAATGTACAACAGTTTTCATAGTTGCAGAAAGCAGAGTAACAAATGTGTGAGGTAGTAGTTACAATGATAATAAGCTCTTTTGTAAACTTATTGGAAACGTAATCACAGAGCACCATGCAAAGGTTGTACTCCATTGTCATTTACATATTTGCTTTTTTTGGAGTCTCTTAAAACTGCTGGAGTTTTGTCCATGGCTGGCAGTCTTTTTACAGAGCTAGCTAGGTGCTTTCAATCAATGAAGGAAGTGTCATAAGAAAATGGAGTGCAATTCTCTGCTTGTATCTGCTGCAGGATTGTTTTAGAAGTCACCAGTGTCAACCCTGTGCACCAATAATAGAAGAATATTCTGGAATGGTGCTGAGGTTTGTTGGAGGCATTGGACTCTTCTTCAGTTTCACAGAGGTGAGTGGGTAGAAGGTTAGAAAATGGAGTGCTTTTTTCCCTACTTTTAAGGCTTCATTTTGTGAAACAATTGGGTTTAGGGGGTTTATTATAGGAACTCTCAGTACTATCTCAGGAGTCAAATAATTAATTAGGTCAAATTTTTCCAGGCTATCAGCTCGCTTAAGTCTGCCAAATGAAGGGCTTGTCTGCGTTCACCAGTGGGAGTTCTTGCAACTCTTTGTTAATTAGACTACAAACTGCAACTAGATGTCACATTAAAATGTGGTGCTGTAACGTTTTAAGTTTTGGAGAAAGTTAGCTATTCAAGTTTGCCATTCTCCAAAAATAATGAAGAGTGCCATTGCTTTACCTTGTTCTCCTATTTTTCCTGCCCATCCCCGCTCCCTCCTGTCTTTGGGTCTTTTTGGTTTGGGGATTTTTTTTTTTGTTGTTCCTCCTGTAGTGCACAGGTACAGTTTAATGAGTGAACTGGATTTTAAACATCAAGTTAAAAGGGTCTTTGACTCTTAGCTTTAGTACCCAGGTGATACTTATACTTGCTTTATTGACAGTGGATAAAAATCCTCGGAGCAGGTCTTTCATAACCCCACAGTAGAGTGTGTGAAAATACTCCTGCTACTTAGTGCAGGTTTCAGAAGGTTTTTAGATATTACAGCAACAAGAGAGATGCAGCAACTCAAACAGAATCACTCTGACATCTGCCTTCGGTTTCTCTACTGAAAATGTGAAGATGCTGGCAGGGCGAAAGGTTAGGAGCAACGACAAGATTTGAAAATGTACTAGAAAAATAGCCTTATAGTTAAGTGGTAACTGTAAAATGAGACAATTTGGAGGATTTGTTTATCATTACGCTAAAACCAGGTTTATGAATATTTATCATTTGGGGAGGGGGAAGAACAATTTAACTCTAGACTTGCCTATGGGAAATATTTTGTATCACGTTGTGGATATAGTTTTGACTTTTTTGTGGTGGTCTTGTCTGTTACTGGGTATGAATTCTTTCTGAGAAGGTGCAGCCTTTTTTTCCAATGAGGAAAGCTGGTGTGTGCTTGTGCAACTGTAGCAACAGTAAAATATTCTAAATGTGTGTACTGGAAATTCATTGTCAGAATTTTATTTTTAAAACAGATTTTGTAAAAGTGATGGAAGATGGGCTGGAGACCCTTTGCTTAATAATATCTTTGGGTTTTGTTTTCAGATTCTGGGAGTCTGGCTGACGTACAGATACAGGAACCAAAAGGATCCCCGAGCAAACCCCAGTGCATTTCTTTGAGAAGTGTATAAAGCACTGAATCTTCTCTCTGCACCCTCTACTTCGAAATACTGATTCTTTATAGTTTGGCATTTCTTCATAATAGGGGTTCTACATGTACCCCAAAGAAGACTTTATTCCCATAAGAAATTCTAGTTTAAATATTTAATTTCCCAGTATTCTTCTTCTAAGAATCTCTATATTGAACTAGACTGGTGCATTCAGTACCTGGGCAGAGTCAAACTGCTGCTTTGAGCTGCTTAAATAAACTCTGTTAAGACTCTCTTAGTTGATGTGGTGAACTCTGTAACAGTGAGATTTATAGCACTACTGGCTTCTCTGGTGTCTGAAAAACCCAAAAGTATTTTCTGCTGTATTCATTGATTACAAAAATTCACATGATTTATCATGAAAATGATAAAAATATATGGTGGATGGATGGACTCTACAATCTGATTAGGCTTTAGGATGAACTCTAGTCAATTTTTTTTGTCTTAATAGTGGTCTTCAACTTTCCAGTTAAGATAAAAATAGAAGTTAAAGATGTTATTTTCTGTAGTGCACATAAGTGTAAGTTAATGACTACTGTGGTCTTTACTCCTCCCCTTCCCTGTTTGTTTTGGCTTTCTGGTAGCTTTAGAATTTTGTTGAGAATAAAAATAATTATTTACTTTTTAATGGATATCTTCACTAGGAGAACAGTGAATGAAGAAAACGAGGAGAATGTAATCTGCAACTGATTAGCTTGAAACTTTTTTTTTCTTCGACAAGTGAATGAAGTGTTCAGAATCAATAGTGGTCTGTTACCTTCAATGTAAGAAACTTGATGTCTGGAAAGTTGTTGTACAGCTATTTTTTCAGATGGTGTAAAATTTTTGTTGTAATAACTCAGCAGTGTATATTCCTCTGTCATCCAGCTAACAGTCTTGATTTCATGAGAGATTGAATGATGTGTAAAAAGAGGAGGAGGAAAAAAAAGTAAAAAAACAAAACCCAAAGTGATTGTTTCCAGTAGTTAGTTTGTTGGGTTTTTTTAAAAAAAAAAAGTTGGAATGGTACATTATCTGTGTAGTAAGTATTGTCTGAGGTGAAGGGAAGCATGGCCCCTTTTCCAACCTGTAATAGGAATGATGCATCAGCTGGAACATCAGACATAGAAACACATGAGGTACGTAATGTTGCATTTGTGTCTAATCACACTGAATTGCAGACCTACACTGTACCTTTTCTTCATTCTGTTGCTGCTTCTGGCGTGGTAGGGAGCTGCTGTAGCCTGAAAGATGGCTCTGCAGGAAGAAAAGTGGAAGAGTATTAGGGCCATCTGCCAAGGAATACAAGCAGCTGAGTGAGGTGGAAAGGAAGAGAGTGAGGGCAGAGAGGCAGTGAGTTCTCGTAGTCTCTCTTTACTAGGGAGATGCCCCCTTGCTTCTGCAAAGTGGACAAAAAGAAGTTGCAATACATACCTATCAGAACGCTTTCATGTGCCCAGTGCTCCTAAAGAAGGAATTGTTTCAAGGTTTCAGAGGGGCAGAGTTGAACCTGAAGGCAGAGGAGTGTCAGGAACTCGCTAAAGACAGTTTCTCTTCAGGTGTGGCCGGTTCTTCAACTTCTGCTGTCAGCGCCCTCTCCTGGTGTTTGGTCTGGGAGTTACTGCTTCGTATGTTAAGAAGTATTGGTGTCAGATTCAAGCACATACTTGTACACCCAGTGTAAGAGCCCACTCGTGTACTGAAATACCTTAAGAGCCTTCAGGACTAGTATTGAAGTATAATTTAAATGTACACAGCAGGCTTTTTCCCCAAGTGCTGTCCTGTTTAAGCAGCTAAGCAGCCATTCTCAGTACATGTGAAGAGGACGATGATCATCTTGTGACTGTCTTTAGCAACAGTTAATTTTCCTAGTCTAGATAGGCTCTGTGTTTTGTACATTACTGTAATAAATTAAAGGAGGAGTCCTATGGAGAGGGTGTATGAAACTTAAAATAATGCCCCATTGCTGCTTCAACTTTGATGTTTTTCCTAATTGTTTTTAATGCTCAGTTTTGGGTGGATCTGGTTTCATAAATATGGTAGGTGATACTGGAGTGTAAAAGTGCATCACTGGGAAAATACTGAAAATGTTACCACTTCAGAAACTCTTATGTCTCATAATTTGTGAATTTGTGTTAGTAGTCCAAAGACAGATCAGTGGGTCATATGCTTTGATTAAAGTTTTTCTATTCTATTAATACTACTTTGTCTCTTGAGACTGTGGTTTAACATATAGCTTGCCAAAGATACATGAGCAGGTGCCTTGCTTCTAATTTTGCTGAGAAATTCTCTTGAGCTGAAACCTTTGCTTCTCTCGCCTGTCCTACCTTCTTAGGTGTATTCCTCTCTTGTGGTTATCATCATGGCTGGTAATGGTAGTAGTGGTAGTAATGGATGACATTGCCAAAAAGCTGAGAAAATAATGAAGGTGCAGTCCTAGGCAAAGTGTTTCTCACTGGTGCTGCTGCTGGGTTCTTGGATATTTGAGGTTGCAAAGTCTCCTTCTGGTCTAAGTCTTAAGATGCTGTGTATTCCCATGGTGTTCAGTTGCAAGATTTCTTTTAGTTTTGACTTTTCTTGTCCCTTTTAGGCCTGGAAATAAGCAATCACAAGCCGTAACACAATCATGAAACCAACCATATGCCTAGTACAGTATCACTTTATCATCTCAAATCTTTGCTGAATTCTGATGTAAGCAGGAATCTCTTAAGAGAAGCAGTTTCTGTCTTTAAAGAAAAAATCTTGAAGTAGATAAAATGAACTTCAGAATGCTGCCGGTTTAAAAAAAAAAAAAGAAACAGCCCAATCCCATCCTCTAATCTCAAGTGCTCTTCTGCAAAAGGTTTACACCTCTGCCTATCTTAACTGTGAAGAAAGGCCTGATAATGAGAGCTGGTGCTATGGGAAAAGAAATGGAGATAAAGCAGGCTGGGCACTGCAGAGCTTAAGTAGTTGCTGAAAGTGGAGATAAAAAGCTGCTTTTCTGTACTGGGTTTGGCTGGGTAGTTAATTTTCTTCCTGGTAGCTTGTATGGTGCTGTGCTTTGTATTTGTGACCATAACAGCATTGATAACACAAAGATGCTTTAGTTAACTGCTGAGCAGTGCTTACGCAGAGTCAGGGCCTTTTCTGTTCTTCATACCACCCCACCAGCGAGTAGGCTGGGACAGCTGACCCTGACTGGCCAAAGGAACGTCCCATACCACGTGACATCATGCTCAGCAGATAAAGTGAGGGAAGAAGAAGGTGGGGGGGACGTTAGGAGTGATAGTGTTTTTCTTCCCAAGTAACCATTACACGTGATGGAGCCATGCTTTCCTCGGGATGGCTGAACATCTGCCTGATGGGAAGCAGTGAATGAATTCCTTGTTTTGCTTTGCTTGTGTGTGTGACTTTTGCTTTACCTCTTAAATGCTCTTTACCTCAACCCATGAGTTTTCTTGCTCTTACCCTTCCAGTTGTCTCCTCCATCCCACTGGGGAGAGTGAGCTTTGTGGGGCCGAGCTGCTGGTCAGCACTAACCCACAACAGCCTTTTTCCTTCCAAAGTGCTTAGGTGTAGAACTGCAAGCTATGGTCTCGGGTGACACAATTATTTTACTCTTTCAAATAATGGTAAATGATAATAAAGAAAAAATACATAACACACCAATGTTTTGTATGTAAACACTTGGATTTATTTTTAAAAATCATTTTTTACAGTTGAATCGTACAGTATTCTTCGATATGCCTTAAATTAAAAGCCTCCAGCTTTTAAAAATGCTGCCCAGTACAAAAGTGCTAATGTAAAACTGTAGTGTTTATGTATATAAACCACCACTACACATCACTAAATGTCACTAAATAGTCTCTTCACCAGTGTCAATGAGTGGAAAAGAGAAGGAAGATCAGACTTCATAGTATTCAAAGGCTTCCTTCTTCCCCTTACAGCTCAGTCTTCAGGAGCTTCAGCGCTTTCTGCATATTTGAATGCACTAGAAATGATATATTCATACATGTTATTTTTGTGGCAACTTCCTTTTCCAGCAAGTACAAATACTGTAGTGAAAATATCCTTATTATTAAAACCTCTGCTCGCACGCCTATTGCCATATGGATTCTAATGCACTGTGTTCTTCCAAGCATTTTGTGCATGTCATCAGTTTAATTTTGACTGGTGAGAACGTACATCTGTTAATGCAAACACGTGGGTATTCGCAGAGCAGCAATGGGAGGGAGGGCTGGAGCACACCACTCCTCCCTCTTCCCAGAAGCTTTCCTGACGTGGGCCGGCAGGGCTTGTGTGTAGGAGTCCTCACTGTTGCCTATGCTGAATGCTGCTGAATTATGCAAGTTCCTACTGATGAGCACTTTCTTTTAAAACAGATGGATGTTTAAGGCTCCAGGGCTCTGCCATCATTCTCTTCACCTCACTGCATTTTAAGGCTAGCATCCTGTTTCATTTTAATCCTGGTTAACCATCTTTCAGCAAGTACTGATTGTGAGAGCCTGAAATGCCTGGGGTTATTCCTTGTCGCGTGAAAAATGTGACTGCTTTTAGAATACTTCAGAATATGCTACTTACACAATGGACCATCAGAAGGCTCATATGCATAGAGACGATTTGAGTATCTTCCAGTGATATCTGCTCTCACAGTCAGGGAAGGATCTGGAAAAAAGGATGAGAGAAGTTGTAGAGGACAGGATTAACCTTCAAGCAGAACGAAAGAAACCTTTCTGCAAGACACATCTGCTTCCACTAACATCCAAGAGGTCATGCTACATAGTCACTGACATTTCAACTTTAATTGCTGTGTTTGCTGCTTTATTAAGAAAGGTATAGGTTTGATTCTGATCAGTGTTGATCAGCCTTACACCCTGTGCCACTGCACAGTACGTGAATTAACTCTATGAGCTGAGGCCGCTTTCAGGCTACAAATGTTATCAAAAAAGAAATAATAAAGGCAGAGATAATATGGTAGTGGCTTTGGTCTGTTGAAAATGGTGATCGTGACCTAGATTTATCAAGGTGTGTGTTAAAGATGCATGTGTGCAATATATATCATTACAAATCTGTTCTGGGAGAGGGAGTACCTGGGCGCATGGCCACTGATAGGGCTCCAAAGCGCAAATGCTTTGGAAGGGGTTATGGAGGTTAGGGGAGCACAGATCAAACACTGAGCTGCTAAAATCGGCCCCTGAAGCATCCAGTTCCTGTGATATCCGAGACTGTGTTATACACAGAAACCTGATGGGTTTGCAGTATTTCTAAAGCCAGGAGGATGAGCAGGGCTGAGCGGGTCCTACCCATTCCAGTGAATGTGGCACTGTGTCATTTCAATCTCATGAGGAATCGAATCATGAAGGATGATGCTGGACCTGTGAAGCTAATGACCTGGCTGGGGTTGCTT